TGTGAAAGAAAGGATGCATAATAGATGGGCATCCCCAAACTCACTGCCATTGAGTCATAGCGACCCTATAGGACAAGGTAGAGCTGCCCCTGTGGATTTCCAAGACTAACTCTTTACGGGAATAGAAAGCTCTGTCTTTCTCTTATGGACTGCCAAGTGGTTTCAAACTTCTGACCTTGTGATTAGCAGCCCAATGTGTAACCACCACATCACCAGCAATATCCTGTAATGAGTACATTCCGATTTCTTTAGCTGTTTCCTCCCAGTGTGTTGTTCCCAGCTTTTGTCTTTTAGGTCCATGGCTTTTTGTATGTATATTTATCATCATTTTGTGAATAAGCCCTCCTAAACTTAGTAGCGTAACACAATAAGCCATTTATTTACTTGCATTTCTGCCATTTGGACCAGCCTTTGGATGTTTCTTCCATTGGTCTCTCTTGGAGGGAGCAGATGGTTCAAGGTGGTTTCAATCACATCCCTCACATTCTCACAGTTAGCCAGGGTTATAAGCAGGAGTTCCAAGCATCCTTTTTGGTAGGCTATCTGGTAGTATAGCCCACCCCTCTTTTACATAGCAGCCAGGTCCCAAGGTGGTGAGCCTGGAAGCCACATTGTCAATGAGGCCTTGTCTCAGAAGTTTCAAAAAGTAACTTCTGCTGCATTCTACTGGTCAAAACAAGTCATAGCCAGACTCTCTCCTGATTGGAAGAGAGGCAACATAGCATTGCAAGGGGCCTTGTGACCATGTTTTACGATCGACCAAAGACATAAACCTAGGCATGGGATTGCTGGGCCACAGCACGCGTTTTAGTTCAGCTTAGTACCAATTTATACTCCTGCCAGCCCAGGATGAGAGTCCTATTGCCTCCCAATCTCATCTGTTGCTGGTATTCAGTCTTTTTAATTTTAGCATTTCTGATGGAGGCGTAGTGTTTTTCGTGTGCTTTAATTTGATTTTCCTTGAATACTAATGAGGCTGAGTGTAGTATTAAATAAAATTGTTCGGACGGAGGGTGAGGGAACCAGCCCCCACCCGCTGCTTGAACTCACTGGTTCAGTAATACTACTTCTGGGTTCAGTAATGCACAATTGTACGGTTGAGATATATAAGTATTATATTAAAGTCATCGAGAGCATGAGAGATAATACAATAATACAGTCAGGCATGATACATAGCAACATTGCTCACCTCAGCCCAGCTTGGTGGTCCACGTGGAGAGAGGGGGAAGGGAAGGAGGGAAAGGGAACAAGGGAGAGGGGAGTGACCAGGGAGGGAGCAGCAAGGAGCTCAAAGTCAGAGAGGGAAGTCCTGCTGACTCACACCTATATACCTTTTGGGGGCAATCCAGCCCACTAATTACAGGTAAAGACATATGTCACAGGAAGGGGCTGCACTATAGGTTACACAGCAATGAGAGGGTGGTCTAGGGGGTGGTCTCTGGGTCTCCATAGGAACATTATCAGTAGGGTGTAAACCCCTCCTACAGGAGCCTGTCCATTGTCCCCAGAGGCAGGGAGCAGGCCCACCCCTGTGGAGGGATGAGACAGCAGTCTGGCAACTGATTCCCTCAGGGGAGGGAATGCCTGCGCATCTGACCTCCCCTCACAGCTGAGGACATTCCTACATGCTCACTGGCCATTTGTGTATCCTCTTTTAAAGGAAGTGATTTGTAGGAGTTCTTTACATAGTCTGGATACGGGTCAGTTGTAATTTTACTCAACGCTCTCTCTTCGGTCTTGAGTGATTTTGCTCATGATTACAAAGGAAGTAACATTTGAGCTGAGCTTTGAAGGATGATGAGTAATTAATGAGGATCACCAAGGCCTTCTAGTTAGAAACACGAGCAGAGTCCAGGGGAGGGAAAATAGAAAATGCTGCCTTTGAGAAACAATGGCATTTCAAGGTAGATGACTGGAACGAGAGGAGAGCCAGAGTAGCAGGTGATGAGACATGAGATGGGGCTCAGGACCACAGAAGATGACATGACCCTTCAATGGAATGAAAAGCAGCATGCTTTCCATGGGTGTTCCCTTTCCTTCACAGGGAGTCCCCAACTTGTGACACATTTGAGCGATGATGAACCACACCTACGACCCTCTCTTTTTCCTTTCTTTGACATCTTATCATTAGTGATATGTACCACATGCAAGATTGCAGCAAGTAATTTGCCATTATCATCCTCAGGTACAAGGTCTCCACCCCAAAGACAAATACAGAGCAATTAATGAAGGTACTGAGAATAAAAGGCAATAATAATGAAAAGTAAAAACAAAAATAGAGGTAGTTGACTTACATCAGAAATAATTTGCAGTGGAGTAGTGGTTGGGACAGAAGGTCAACATACAGTGAGTCTGCGCTTGTTGTTGCTGTTGGCTGCCGCCCGGCTGGTAGCCAACGGGGGTAGCCAACTGGTACCCAACTCTCGATGACCCTGTGCACCACAGAACCCAATCATCTTCATCTTTAAGTTTTGGGGAGATAAATCACTGGGTTTTTAGCCTGTCTTAGTCTGGAAGCTCCACTGAAACCCGTTCAACAGGATAGAATATGCCAGTCTCCAGTGACAGACAGGTGGTGGCTGTGCTTGAGGCAGAACCTCAGACTTGAACTCTAGACCCCCGCGTGGAAGACTAGAACCACTGCAGTCCTCTTGTTTTCCTTAGAAATCCTGCTTCAAAGAGCTAACAAGCTTATTGCACATGAGGATTCAGTGAAACAATGCTATGTAAGACCACCCAAACCTCATTGCCACTCTGACTCATGGTTAACATGACAAATGGAAGAGCGAGAGGAAGCGAGGAAAGGAAGGAGAGAGGCTAGAAAAAGACCAACACGTGTGTGTGTGTGTGTGTGTGTGTGTGATAATCAGTTGGGGTGATGGAGTAAGAGAAAGAATGTTATGAATAAGATGAGGAGGAACACTCAGGAGGAATTGTGGTGAAGAGACAATTGGACCATCTGCTTAACAGAAACCTGGAGACACAAGTAGCTCATGTGGGGGTGGGGGTAGGGGTGGGGGCATTAGGAGCCAGCTGCAGCAACACTGGAACCACCAGCTTTCCTTATTCCTGGGAGACTTCAGCCAGCTCAGTTTCCTTGGAGCATCTTGATTCCTGCCATGGAGGGAAGCCGCCCTGAAAACTCAACTCTAACCAGCCCCAGCAGAGGAAGTTTTGCCTTGAGCTTTCTTCCTTAGTGCTAGTGTGCAAAATGCAATCCTCTTCTTCCTCCCACCTGTGTCTGGTGACCAGAGGGATGGGTGAGGCGAGGCAGAATCTGAGGCCTGCTGAAAGCCTGGCTGGCAATGAGAGGAAGCCTGACATCCGCTGGAAAGAAGAGAAAGCCTGAAACTTGGAAAGGGATGGCCAGGCCGGTTTGGGCTTCACCATTGTTGTCACAAAACCCTGTCATTGCTGGTTGCCATCCAGATAGTGCTGCCGCGTGACCTTATGTAGCGCGTTGTGATCCATAGCGTTCTCATTGGCTAGTTTGTAGAACTCAATCGCTGGGCCTGATTCTCTAGTTCTCTTGGTCTGGAAGCTCCCTCGAACCTCTCCACCACAGGTGGCCCCTTGGCTATCTGAAGTACCAGTGGGATAGCTTCCAGCACCATGGCCACACACAAGCCCGATCAGTGGTGAGCATGATATTCATAAATGTCTACCTAAGATATGTAGCAAAAAGAAGAAAACTAGCCAGGGCCCCATTATCCAGAGTAAGGAGTACACATCCATTATGCCAATGCATTAAACAATTATTAGGTAGCCTACTGTGGGACAGTCATAGCTTAATACCAGAGATATAGTATTTCTATATTTAATATTTATATATGAGGAAGATAGACACAAACTTCTCCTTAAAGAACTTAAAGAGTTAAGTGGTTCAGAATGTTATAAAACAAATAGTTGTTTTAAATAAATTTGTAATAAATACTGTGCAATACAACAATAGCTAGAATCTTTTAAAAATTAAGGCTTATTAAGTAACCAGGTGCCCTGGTGGCATAAAGGGTTACATGTTGGGCCAACCACAAGGTCAGCAGTTCAAAGCCACCATCTGCTCTACAGGAGGAAGACAAGGCCCTCTGCTCCCTTAAAGATTTACAGTCTCAGAAACCCACAGGGGAAGTTCTGCTTTGTCCTACCAGGAATCATGTTGATGACAGGGCCTATATGCTGGACACCTAACACTAGCAATATGCTAGAGGGCCTTGAACGCAGCCGCGGTTCATGAGTTCAGATGCCGACCCAAAAGTCTACCTCCCAAACCTTCCAGAGTACAGTTTCACCTTAGTACACAAGGGGGTGCCATGAGTCCGAATCAACAGGAAACCACGCCCCCCACATACGCTAGGCATTATGTCACCTGCTTCGTCCGTACTCTGTGTTAAGTATTTTATATGTTCTATCTCATGTAACGGTCACCATAACTCCAGGACAGTGGTTCTCAATCTTCCTAATGCCACGACCCTTTAATACAGTTCCTCATGCTGTGATGACCCCCAACCACAAAATGATTTTCGTTGCTACTTCATAACTGTAATTTTGCTACTGTTATGAATCGGGCAAACCCTGTGAAAGGGTCATTCGACTGCCAAAGGGATCGTGACCCACAGGTTGAGAACCACTGAACTTCTAGTTTAGGAGATAAGTTATAATTGCATGATCCCATTTGGGGGTTGAAAAATCCTTTCGCAGGGGTCAACTGATTCATAACAGTAGCAAAATTACAGTGATGAAGTAGCTACAAAAATAATTTTATGGTTGGGGGGTCACCACCACATGAGGAACTGTATTAAAGGGTTGTGGCATTAGGAAGTTTGAGAACCACTGTTATAGAGGAAGGAATTAACACAGAAAAGGTATCTTGCCCAGGTAGCTTGCCCAACAAAGCACCTGGGGCTGGGGCTGGGGCCGGAGTGTATCCAGACACTGCAACAAGCAGTCTGTCCAAATCAGCTGTAGACTATGTGACACCTTCTCTCTTCTCCCCTTACTAGGTCTGATCCCTACTGGTGCTCAGGGACTTAAGCTGTGGCCAGCCCAATGGACGACGATACAGAACTGAGGACTGATGGAAACTCCCTTCTAAAGGCAGTATGGCTGGGGAGGCTCAGGCTGACCAGACTCCTCCTGGAAGGGGGGGCCTACATCAATGAAAGCAATGACAAAGGCGAAACGGCGCTCATGGTGGCCTGCATCACCAGACACGTGGACCAGCAAAGCATCAGCAAGTCCAAGATGGTGAAGTACCTGCTGGACAACAGGGCGGATCCCAACATCCAGGATAAGTCTGGCAAGACGGCGCTCATCCACGCCTGTATTAGGAGAGCTGGGGGAGCAGTGGTCTCCTTGTTACTGGAGAATGGGGCCGACCCCAGCCTCGAGGATCGCACGGGGGCTTCCGCTCTGGTCTATGCCATCAACGCAGACGACAAGGATGCGCTGCAGCATCTCCTTGATGCTTGCAAAGCCAAAGGGAAGGAGGTGATTATTATAACCACAGACAAATCGTCTTCCGGCACTAAGACCACCAAACAGTATCTCAACGTACCCCCTTCGTCCAAGGTGGAAGACAGGCAGCCACCTCCAGGGTGTGCGTCTCCTTCTGAGATTGAACTGAAGGCCCCTGGCCTGGGCTCTCCACCCAGCGAGAAGGAGGATGACTTCTTCAGCCTCCAAACAGCCTCCAAGGTGCTTAATGAGCCCGGGTCACCCAATGGGAAAGTCAGTAACCTTAAAAGGGCCCGTTTGCCCCAGCTCAAGAGACTCCAGTCTGAACCCTGGGGCCTGATCGCTCCCTCTGTGCTGGCCGCCTCGCTGCGGCAGGACGAGATTCACAGTGCCGGCCCAGACAACGAGGTCATCAAGAGCATTAGTGACATGGCTTTCCCCAAAAGGGGACCTCTCTCCAGAACCAACAGTATTGATGGCAAAGACCCAGCCCTGCTCCTCACAGTCGCGGAGCAAGTTCTGAAGATCTCGAGCTCTTCGGGGCCAGCAGCCTGGAAAGCTGCTTATGACAAAGGCCAGGCTGCCCACCCTCGTCTGGCCAGAAGAGGGACGCTCCCCATTGACCAAGAGAAAGGTAGCATGGGTCCACCAGGACCATCTGCTCTAAAAGACCCAGCAGCCCTCACGTTGCTGGAGAACGGTTTCTATGAGTTAGATCTACAAGCCGGGCTTGAGCCACCCGATTCCAATTCCCTGGAATCCAGCAAAGGACCCGTAGATAGAAAGAAGCTCAACAGCCCCCACCTGTCTCTTTACCAGGGCTCGCGGGAGGCCCTGGATGCCTTGCCCAGCACATCCCCCAACTCAGTGCGCCGCAGGCCACCGCATCTTCTCGAGAGACGAGGTTCCGGAACCTTGTTGCTGGACCGCATTTCTCAAACGAGGCCCGGCTTCCTTCCACCCTTAAACGTGAATCTGAACCCACCGATCCCAGATATCAGGTCCAGCAGCAAACCTTCCTCCCCACTCGCGAGCGGCTTAAAATCCATGGTCCCCGTGGCCCCCAGTTCACCGAAGCGAGTTGACTTGAGAAGTCAAAAGAAACTCCTGAGAAGGCACTCTATGCAAGTCGAGCAGATGAAGCAGTTGTCGGACTTTGAAGAAATCATGACCTAGACAATTTCATCTAGAAAGCCCCCACCCCTGATCCTTGTAGTTTATGAAAGGGACCCCAATCTAGACCCACTCAGCCCCTCTCAGATTCTCTGCATTCGTATCATCCCTTAATGTTGACGTGTGGCTGCTGCAGAGGCTGTGGGAGCCGGGTGCTCCTTCACTTGGGGAATCATCCGTGGCTCTTCATTGGCCCATTGAAAAGCGCTCGGGATACTTGGGTCTGGGATCCGAAATTAAACCACTTCTCCGAGGGAAGAAAAGCCTTTGGAGCTGGAGCAACCCAGCCGCGCACCATGACCTAAGTCAGCTGTGGGTGCCAGCTCCTTTCTATCAGATCCCCAGAAACAGACTCGAGAACATAATGCGGTCTTGGAAGTGTGTCCTTTGTCATACACATATGAAGTGCCTACGGAGAAGATGGGGTTTTCGCATTCCTTAGAAGGTGCATAAGCTCAAACCAACCGATTAGCTGTTAAATCTGCCTATTTGGGGTCCAATTGAAGGTGGAGAAGCCGACTCCCACTCACCCCCCACAGAGATTCTGATGCGTGGGGTTTGCCTCTTACTATATTTTGGGACACATGTCTGCCACACACGACTCCCACCCCCGAAATGCATTGCTAGTGAATGCATCTGACTCAAAGCCACCCTCTGGGGCAAAGCAGCACACCCCATAGGGTTGCCAAGGCAGTACATCTTTCCAAAAGCAAGCTGCCTCATTGTCAAGCTCCTTCGGAGTGTCTGGTGAGTTAAAAGCACCGACCTTTTGGTTTGCAGCCAAACTCCTAACCACCACACACCCAGGGCTCCTTTTGATCCAAGCAGTTAACTGTATTACTGAGCCAGGTCACCTCCATGGGCAGGACCCATACTGCGTGGACTCATGTGGGATGTGCACTGAGTCCTCAGGTCACACATTGAACAGACCCTCCCAATTCTCATCTGTCACCCTCCCTGGTACCCCAGGAATCAAACAGCAACGGGCTTCCCCAGCCTCCAGCTGGAAACAGGAGAACAGTCAAGGTCAGGTCACTGAAGCTGAGTTGGACGCAGTACCAATTCTAGAACAGGCCCACAGCAAAGTGCGGTTTACCCAAGACCCGAACGAGACATGATGACCGGATGGCCTTGGGGAAAGCAGAAGTGAATGGTTCCTGAGCCGGAAGCAAGCGGGGAGCCATTTCATTCTGCAACCTGGAAATCCTGGGGAAGGCAGACGGTCGTCCCTTCCTCCTTCTGTCTAGATAGCGAAGAAAACCCCAGTTTCTTCTTTGTAGAAATAGGCAGCATCACCCTTTAGAACCACTTTGCACGACCCCCAGGAAGGGAGCAGAGACTTAGCACGTTCGCTGTGTTTAGATTAAGGCACCCCTGATTGCTTTCCCAGTTCCTCTCCCTTCTGATTCTGTTCAAATACATTTGCTCGGTGGTAAAAAAATGAAATTAAAAAAGAAATCACTAGCCCCCTCTCCCCCAGAGTGCTGAGGCAACGTCATGCCAAGGAAAGAACAGGCCTAAGGTCAGGTGGCTGGCGGGACTGGGCGTCGGTCCATAGCAGAGCCTCCATTGCCCCTTCTGTAAAATGGGCTGAGTCGTGCTGCATTTGGACAGGCTGCGGTGAGAAGTAAGTGAGACAGGTCTATGAGGGCTCCTTACTGTTTGGCACAAGAGGAACACAGTGGCAAAGATGTGGAATAAAGCTTTCTCTGAATCCTCACCCTCTCGAATAAGGTAGAAGATGCTACACAAAACAAAGCCACGCCGGAACAATTTGGGGATCAAGGTCCGCGGTGGTCCTCTAAATACGGGGCCCTCAATTCGTGTGTGGAACCATTAAACTCTGCCACATACCTCCACAGCGTCGCACCATTAAAGAGAATGCTCATTAGCTAGAAATTGACCAGAAGATCCCAAACCACTCTCAAGGATGTTTATAATTTTTTTTGATGCTTTAAAATATTATCCCTCATCCAGAGCAGAATCTCTCTGGACCATTGGCGAGAGTGGCGATACCAGGAGGATGGAGGGGAGGCGGGGCAGAAAGGGGGAAACAATCACAAGGATCTACATATAACCTCCTCCCTGAGGGGTAGACAACAGTAAGTGGGTGAAGGGAGACGTCAGACAGTGTAAGACCTGACAAAATAATAATAATATATAAATTATCAAAGGTTCATGAGGGAGGGGAAATAATGAGGAGCTGATCTCAAGGGCTCAAATAGAAAGCAATATTTTGAGAATGATGAGGGCAACAAATATACAAATGTTCTTGACACCATGGATGTATGTATGGATTGTGATAAGAGTTGTATGAGCCCCCAATAAAATGGTTTAAAAAACAAACAAACATTTCTTTTTCTTCCTTTCTAAAACTTTTAATAAATCATTTTATTGGGGGCTCTTACAGCTCTTATCACAATCCATATATCCATCCATTGTGTTGGGAACATCTGTACATATGTTGCCATCATCATTTCCAAAACATTTTTTTTCTGCTTGAGCCCTGGATATCAGTTCTTCTTTTTTCCACCCTTCCTCAACCACCCTCCCACCCTGGTGAACCCTTGATAATTTATAAAAATTTTAAGTTTTCATATTTTACATCATCCGCTGTCTCCCTTCACCCATGTTTCTGTTGTTCATCCCCCCCAGGGGGGCAGGACAGGGGTTGTACACTGATCTTTCCAATCAGTTTCCCCTCTATCTCCCCTTTCTTCCCACTACCCTCATGGTATCTCTACTGTCATTGTTGGGGTATATCTGTCCTAGATTCTGTGTGTTAAGAGCTCTTAAATGTACCAGTGTACATGCTCTGGTCTAGCCAGATTTATAAGCCAGACCTGGGGTCATGATAGCGGGTGGGTGGAAAGGGGGAGGAAGCATTAAAGAACTAGAGGAACGTTGTGTGTTTTGTCAGTGCTATACTGCACCCTGGCTGGCTCATCCTTTCCTTGTGACTCTTCAGGGCAGGCACTATTTCAACTTCAGCACTATTGACATTTTGGGCTGTATAATTCTTTATTGTAGGATGTCACCCTGTGCATTTAAAGAAGTTTAGCAACATGCCTGGCCTCTACCTTCTAGATGCCAGTAGTACTTTCTCCACAGCCCTTTCCAACTTGTGATAGCGAAAAAATTAAATAAATAAAACTATACATAAATTAAAAGGCTCCAGAGATTGTCTAGGGTTCCGTGAAGGCACCGTTGCCTAATTTGATCCCCGCTGCCCTGGGAGAATTTCTGAGAACGTGGGCCTAATTTGTGACGACTAACAAAGTCCGATGGGGGTGTGGTTGCACGCTGGCTAGCTAAGGTCCCTTCCTAACTTAAAGGCAATTAAAGTTGCGCTTCAGTAAAATGATGAATCTGTTTCTCCTGGGCCTGCAGGATTCTTGGGAAACAGCTACAAAGCTGGATACTGATGGACTTTTCAGGGAGGAAGACAAATGAGAAGCAAGGCACAAAAGCCAGTGAAAGCCTACAGGTCTCAATGACCTTGGTGTCACGTGGACAACTCATATACTTGCTAGGTGCCATCAAGTCCGTTCTGACTCATCGCAACCACAGAAAGAAACACTGCCATCTTTTGAGAAAGATTGACTCAACAGTTCTTCCCAAGCAAATGCAACTACTGCAAAGGAACAACTCTCCACTGTATTGAAGAGAGAATCATGCACACAGCCCTTATCTCCATAGCTCATTGAACATGCCGGCACTTCGAGTATGCTCTCAGGCTTGTAGTGCCAGTTAAGCACTAGCCTCTCATAGCAGTACATAGCAATGGGGGTAGCCAGACACCACACAGGAGCAGTTCCCAAAACTGTCACAGATTTGGAACCCTAATTTATCTTAATGAATCACGCGCCATATTCATAGCAATTAGCTGAGGTGAGCCACCAAACATGATGTGCTGCTCCTTCGGGTCCACCGTCCACTGCACAGACAGGTAATACCAGGTACTTTGATGCTAGTCATTGCCTGCAATACACCTAGCATTGGCCTTTCTCTAGACATTCATTCATCAGGCTAGCGCTTTATCTCATCACCACTTGATGATGCATTAGTGAATAGGACTGTTCTAAATGAGTGCAACCACCAAAATGCCCTACTATGGTCAATGTGTAACTGAGTGATTGTGTCCGTGTTAATCAACCTCACCAGAATGCTTGTTTGGGTTTTTTTAAAGTACACTTAGATCCCAATATGCTTCCTCAATCTGAGATTAGCTTTTTTTTTTTGGTGCCCCTATGTAGAAGTTAGCTGCAAACATCATTTCAAGAGACTGCCTACTGAAGGTTCTATGGAAGGTTGAGCCAAATCTATCTCAGAAGGTGAGCCTGAAAATTAAAAGTGTGGAACTTTATTTTAATGTCTGGACATTCCTTAGAGTTTTTACTTCTTTATTTTAAAAGCCAATTGTCAGCCTTCTTAGAACTTCATCCAATAAATGGTACCCTGAAAAATGCAGGCTGGGTCTTGCCATCCACCTTCCTATGTTGATGTACTGCACACTGCTCACACTGATTCACTACAGGCACACTCGAGTGCCCAGTGGACCATGTGCTCAAAAATGTACCAATACCCATGTACTGGAACTATTTAGACATTTCTAATATATCAATAAAAGATCACACAACCCTTCCAACAGTATGGCTCATTTTTCTTAGTCAAACCTCCATGATACACTCAGCCAAACCCAAGAAAACCAGAAACCTGTCCGAGAAGGAAGACACACATACATATTCCTGTTAGGTAGCTGAGAGACAGGCAGGGGTGGGGGTGTCCTCCCATGCCTGCACAAGTCCTCTACAGGGAGTTGGGAAGGAAATCAGGCGACCATTAGCCACCCATGAAGACCTTAACTTGGCATGCTCCAATTGAGGCTCCTGATCCAGGTGGGTGTTACACCTGGGTAACCCAAACTAGGCCCAGGTGGACTTAATTTAGCCAATGGGGGTCCACCACACCTTCCAGCCAGAGGGTTGAAATACCCTGGTGGCCAGAATGGCCAGCCCTTCTCTCCTTTCACTCTGCTCCTGCGAGCTCAGGCCTCGCCATGCTCTCTCTGGCCTCAGTTCCGCACGTGTGGGTGAGCAGTCCCACACGGTTGCCCATGTTCAGTGGTGAGCCCCAGCTTGGCTCCTGCTAGTTTTAGCATGCTTCCCTGAAATAGAGTGGACTCCTTTGAGACTGTAAAACCTGACACTTCTGTCCTTCATAAAAACTCACCTGGATTACGAACCAGTCTTCTGCGTGAATTCTTTCTCATATGAAACCAAGAATCGAGGTATCCCCGCCTCCCCCCCC